CTTTGGCAATCTGATTATTAATCATTTAATTGAAAAATGATCGACAGATTACTCAATTAGCTAAATAACGGTTAGTTGCAGCCCTAGTCTCTACAGTTTGGAGGTTTTTCCGGTTGGATTTGAGCTGATTTCTCAGAAAGCGTCTTATTTCCCGGTTAGTTTGGTTATCAGGAGGTTCTACCTTCTTCACCGTCTGACCCGCTGCTTTTCGGGCCACGAAGCTCTCTGGGACTCCCACCGCAGCAGACATCTTCTGCTCCGAGGCAGACAGCAGGCTGAACTGCAGACAGGAAGCGGCGGGTTAGCAGAGCGCTAACGGCGTTAGCCTGTGGAGTGTGAGCGAGGTGCTGAACCTGTCTGAAGTAGACCATCCAGTCCGGGTTGCACTGAGGGACCAGCTCGTAGGGGGTCACCAGGTAGACCAGGTGCAGGTAGCTGTTGAGCAGCAGCCCCTCCAGACCTTTGGACAGGTCTCTGTAGAGAACGTCACAGTAGGCCAGATCCACTGACCCTGGACACACAGAGGGGGGAGGAGCTTCAGAGGACTGGCTCTGCTCTGATCTACCGGGACGCAACGCTTTGGGTCCTGCTTTACCTTTATAAGCCGCCCGGCCCAGTCTGGTGACCTGCAGAGCCGAGTCCGTCCCGGTGACGGCGATGAGCTCCTTCTCCTTCAGGATGTGGACGCTCTGCCGCACCACGTCCTGCAGACTCCTGTCCGCACAGAGCTGCTGCTGCTGCACAAACAGCAGCGTCCGCCGCAGGAAGGCGTCCAGCTGCTGCAGCGAGGAGGCCACCTGCAGCAACCAGAGGCCGGATCAGTCATCTGCTCACAACTACAGAAACAATCAGGTCTGATATTTAGGATCAGGTTTGGCTCTGAATAAAAAACTAAACGCTGGTTTTTCTGCCCTTTTTAAACACAATAAATAAATGTTCATCTAAATAAGGCATTTTTTCTTGAATTAAGGGGGTAAGTGAGACACTTTGCCAATAAAAGAAGATAATTTACATTTAAAATAGGAAAAGAAAATCACATTGACTTATTTTCAGAGGAAAAATCTTCACTCCATCTGTAGACCATCTTACCTAAATGCTCAAATTAAGGGGAAATACACTTAATTTAAGACATTCTACTGGTTCTAAATTGTTTTTGCCTTGTATGGAGCTGTGGTGGTTGTTGACCTTTGACCTGGTTCTGAGTTTCATCCGGTCCGACTCTCTGCAGACATGTTGTCCTTTCAAAGAACCTTCTTCCCATTTAAACAGCTGCAGTAATGGTGCAGCTTCAGTCAGGCTTCATACGCGACTATGACAGATTATTAGGGCAATTCAAAGACGGAAAATATTAAATACATGGAATTGAAATATTTTATTTAAAGTGGCATATTTACAAGAATAAACTCAAATATTTACTAAAAGAAAAAATACAAATAGAAGAGAAAATTATTAATAAGAAAAAACACGCAAATTAATGAGAGAAATGTAGCAAATTTGCAAGATGTAAACATGCAGAACATTGGAAGATTTTAATTAGCGTTGCTCTGATGCCATTTTCTGTCCCCCATACCTGGCTGTGCAGCATCGGCTGATACCGTCTGATTG